GGACGTTCAGCCAGTCCATGGGTGTTCCGATTAGACTTATCAGAAATATGGTGCTTCCAGTCTGTTCCTTGTGGATGGAAACTTTGCTCCTAAAAATAACAGGTTGGTCTGGGTTTCGTCAACCTCACCGATGAATTGTTCGGTAAAATACTGCCAGTGTTGGACTTGCTACATTGCTCGGATCAGAAAATACGGAAAGTATCTCCCATGGCAACTTATTTCTTCACGGTTGTGACGAGGCAGTCCGCTTGAAAGCCACGTTATGTTTGATGTGTAGTCCTCATCTTTTATTAGATGAGTCTAAAAACGGAAGTTTTTGGACCAAAATGTGAACCCTGAGACTTACTACGAATTCTCGGAATAGGCTGTTCACAGCTGACGCTATGAACGCGTCCGAGTTGTGTGAACTCAGTTGCTCGATAAAAGATCAATATGGCCGAGAACCTAATTGGATTTCCAAGGCTTCAAGGAGATAAGATGAAAACATCTAGGTTATTCAGGAAACACAAACCTAATGATGGAAAGGTTACAATGTTATCGAGGAATAAAGAGGCCTTCCAGCGGTTGTTTCCTGGACAACTTGCACCCCAGCTAGGAGATCCGTGAACCACACTGCTAAATCCTTCATGGAGTATCCTGCCCCCGAAACTTGTTCAGTCAAGTTCAGTTGGTTATACAAAAGTTCACTGCAAGCGACCTTTTTGCCCACCGAACCGGACAATTTGGCTGCAAGGTTTTCTTTCATCACCAGTAGAGGTCACATCAAGAGCGTGTTGTGAGTTGAGTTGTCTTGGGTTTCGTAGCCAAACTACCCAATTCAACGAACGAAACAACGGCACTCAATGCAACCTGAGCTGCCAGGCACATCATACTCAGGTCTTAACCAATAAGCCTAATTTCACACGCGTCGTCAAGTTGGCCCCATGTTTAGAGCCAAAACAAGCCGACCATTCTGACAATTCAAGCGTCAAAAATACCAAATTTGCGAACGAACTGCGCACGCTAGGATTTGGACGGCGTTTCATTGACGGCTGGACGGCGCGAAACAACCTGCCCGCTTTTGAATGACATTCGACTCGAAGGGATGTGGCGGATGACCATCAGTTGTCAACACTGGTCTATCGGGTCCTCTATTTTACTGAAGAATATGTCTTTCGGGATTGTAGGGGACAATCCAAACGATTAATTAGGCACTACTCATAAGGTAGCTGAAAATTCGTCGCCCGGAAACATCACAAACGAGAGATTTAGCTGGGTTCCAGGTGAGTGTCTCGGAAAACCAAATTTGTTTGCGAATGAGTGTATATTTGCTAATTTCGTGCATGTTGGTTTCAAGCTGACGGAAACTCGGGGACTGCGCCTACCTGATGAGCCCCAAAAAGGGTGAAACCGGTCGTGGGCTGTCCACGAATTTTCAGCAACCTAATGAGTAGTGCATTGCAAATATACATGTATCGCGATATGTCGAATATCGTAGCGAGTGAAACATGAGGCGGCCTGGTGCAGCACATTCAGTTGCCTGGAAACATCACAGACGAGAGATTCAGTTGGGTTCCAGGTGAGCATCTCGAATAAACCAAATTAGTTTGCAAATGAGTGTATATTCGCTGATTAATTAGGCAGTTTAAAGAAGAGCAGAACAGTGAATCCCTATTCACATCAGACTGCTTTCAGGGCCATACAACACCCAGAATTAATGAGATTTCTCGAAAGAATTAGTAGTTTACCTTGTCTGCTTTCCGTTACGAAAGAGTCAAATTTCAAGAACAAACAACATAAGAAAAGCATGTGGAATACAAAAAGCAGTACAGATTCCCTATAACATTCACTGACTTCTTCTAGGGCCACCTGGTTGGCACATGACATCCAGGATTTGATCGGTTCCCTGAATAGGGAACCTCTCGTTATAAGAAACCGCTTGGACCAGATTTGATGGCTGGAAATGAGTCAAGTAATTGAGAATGAACGAAATCCGTGGAATACATAGCCCAGTAAGTAGAATGCAATCGTGGCCGTCCAAAAAGTATGTCATGGTTAAATTCTCCCGTTTGATACGACTCATTTGTCATCATGATTACTTGGATATTGGTGCAGCCAACTCACTGAAAGGTTAAAATTCTTCGGTATCAACATTCCTTAACCTCAGTCCGCGGACAACGAACTATTCAAGGTTGAAAACCTAAGTAGTGTGCTTCGAAAACTCCGAACGACGCTGCCTACACCTGTTTATGAATTTCAACCAACGTTTTCGCAGTCCCGAGCCGAAACAATAAACAATTGCCTGGGTATGACACATTTTCGCCGCATAACAGTCATGCCACCAGAAGAAAGCACCAGGGCTGAGATACTGGCTGGTTGCCCGAACCGGGACAGAACCAGTCAAGATACCTGGGTTGGGTTCGAACTACGGATCTTCCGATCAGTATATCTGTGTTTTAAACACTTGGCTATCCAGAGCACAGTTTGTCACG